GTCTCCAGCAGCGAGTGTGCAGGAGGTGGTTGAACCGGCGCCGAAGTGGTACGAGGAGCGCTGGAAGGCGCAGGCGGAGGGGGTGGCGGGGGTGCCGACGCTGCTGCACTAGGCGGGGCGCTGATCGAGCGGGAGGGGTTGGTCGAGTAGGTAGACGGAGGCGGCGTCGGCTTCGCTTGCTTGTTGCCCATGATGATCGATCCTGCTGAGAATGAAGTGAAGGATTGCTTTGAAATGAATGAATATGTATGAAATTTAGCAAATGATGTGTGGCACGTAATCAAAATATGAAGTTACTCTTTTAGACAGTTGAAAAAAGGCAACTAAATCGAAGTTGACGAAAATGGTGGTTCGGTCGTCGACGCGCGTTCAGGAGGAGGGCAAGGAGGCGGCGGTGGCTGTGCCTAGCGAGGTTGCCGAGGCCATCGCTATGGTCCAGAGCGATTCTCCGCTCGTGGCGGCCGAGGGCTTCTCAAAGCTCTCGCACGCCACGTTCAACAACCGTGAGCATTGACCTTTTCAAACATTGAAAATCAATAGAGTTTTTCTCAAAACAGCTTGTGGTTATAGCGGTGGGGAAGGAAGCGGCAGGCGAAGCAGGAGCCATCAAGGCAATTGTGGACGCAATGGAGCGCAACATCTCCAACGGAACCGTTCAGGAAGACGGCTGCCATGCACTGCGCAATGTCGCATTCCACTGCCGTGAGTGTGGAGTCTTAAGTGGCCGCACAAAACTGTTGGAAATGGAAGACTAATAGATATTTATGTGGATTGCAGTGCCTAACCTAGTGCTGGCTCGGGAACAAGGTGCGATCGCTGCTGTACTCAAGGCAATGGAGACGCACCCTGAGAACGAGGCCCTTCAAGCCGAGGGATTATGGGCTCTGCTAGTCTTCTGCTCCAACACGGGTATGATTTTACCACGATGAATGTATGGTAACAAGTGTTCTAAACGTGGTTACTGTTTGGTGGAGCAGAGGAGAACGCCGCTGTGGCCAAACCGCATGCTTCACTGGTGCACAAGGCTGTTGCGACGTACCCGACCAACGCCGACATCCAGAGCCGCGGTCGCTTCCTCACGGTGCTCTTTGCTTGAGCTTATTGCACTCAAGGCTGAGACGCAGGATCGATTTCCGATTTGGAAGCAGTATTGCGACGCAATGTAGACGTAGAGCATATATTATCCTGTCTCCCTGTCTGTACTCTGTGTTTGTTAGAGCCAAGGATGGCCATGCATAATACTTATACTTGCTGCTTGAAAGATCCGTAGCTTGCAGTCCCGTAGCCCGCAGGCGACTCGTAGAGACTGTACTCGGGGTGTTTGTGGCGTTTGTGGATGTTTTCAAGCTCCACAAGACTGAGAACACTGGAGGCCAGTCCAAGTAGACAGCCCGATGCGAAGGGAACCACACAGGCCTGGAACGAGAAGAGCACTGTGAACGGATCCATGAACTGCAGGGTCGATGACAGGAAGAAGCCGACCATCGCCATCATGTTCAAACCTGCAACAGAGAAATCACTAGAAAGTCAGCACAGGTTACAAGTCTGTGATGGAAGAGCTGTAACCTACCAGTAACCCAGGTCTCGAGCGTCGTGAGGCGGCACGAGAACCATTGATGAACGACCTCAACGTGTGCCAGGTAGGCACTGAGCAGCAGCAGGAACGACCCGGCGAAGAAGGGCACCCAATAGCCTATGATGAGGCTAAAGTCGTCGCGCTTGACGTCCACGACGCCGAAGTTCTCCGAGTCGGCTCTTGTCCACACGTAGGCACGAGCGAAGACGTAGAGCATAGATCCAAGCATGCCCAAGATGGCAGTCCAGAAGTCGATGCGGCTAGGGAAGAAGCCCACGTACTGGCGCTCCAGCACGGGCTCAGTGCCATGGAAGTACTCTTCCAGCCAGATTTCGAGGTTGTGACAACAGTTGATAACTTCAAGGTAAGTGACGGCGTGGTAGGCGAGGAAGAAGATGGAGGCGAGAAGCAGTGGCAGGTCTACGGACGTGTGGACTTCGGGGCCCGACGCGGCCTTAGAGCTGCGGGCACTGTGGGCCACGGCCTCCCCCGTAGCGCCCGTAATGAAGAGCGTGAAGGC